GAAAATGTCTAAACCAAACTCTACAGGGAAAAGAGGCGGGATCTTGTGACTTTGACCTTTCTGGGACCACAGATGAAAGTGGATCGCCGTTGATTGAGTCATCAGCCACGGCACCTCGCGGGGTGCAGCAGGCTCCCTTGGGCCAGCTGAGCGCTGGGCACCGGCTGGGGGAGTGGACGATGCTGGGCGTGCGGGAAGCGCCTGGCCAGTTCATGCAGAAACACCTCCCTTCCCTTTCCTGAGAAAGTAGGTGAAGAAAACTGGATCAGCTCTTTTTCTGTTAAAACCTTCACAAATCTCAAACAGCTGACTTGGTTACATTCTCCTCTGTCCTGTTCATTGATTTATTTGGACTGCCAGGTGATTCTAAATACTTAGTCCCAGGTATTTCCAGATAGTTCTGAATTGAGCGGGTTAGAGTCTTGTACATTATGACATGTGTCTTATGTTTCTTGAAACTCTTCAGGAATCCCAAGTTCTTTTGGATATTCTGGTTACCATGAATATTGGCTTAAAAATAGGCTTTTGTTTGTGACACAGGTTTTCTCTCCATTCATGCCTACTTTTTTAGGCTAATGCTAAGCTAAAATGATAATTTGAAGAAGAAATGTTGGGGGATGCTTTAAACTTTTAAACCATTTGTTGCTGTAACGATAAAATTCCTTGACACACTGCGGATTCTGGCTTTCCAAGATCTGAACCATTGCTGACAGTTCCCACCTTTGTGAACCCTTCAGACAGATCTTAGAAATGCAAAATAAGACTACTTTGACTTTCTTATGTCTATGCTATTAAATGAAAACTAAAAATGAACCCCCTTTTACAAACGAGATTGAGAGTGAAATAAACCAGGTCTCCGGCCAGGCCTGTGGGGGTGTTGAATGTTATCCTGGGGTTGCTCTGTAGCATTTTTCTAATTCCTGCCATTTCTTTCATTTCTTCTTTAGGACATGCTCAAGTTCTTGCATGCTGAAGAACTCTTTGATTTCACTCTGTGCTGCTAGAATTGAATCCACCCACATGCCGCCTTCCCCCTCAAATCTGAGTGCCAGTGCCTTAAGAGTTGTGGTTATGGAAGTGTGCCTTTTGGATTGCAAGGGGGTTTCAAGATCCTTTCTTAGAGGAGCGCCTCAGCTTAAGATGCTTTTCCTGATAGTACTCAGATGTTATTTGCATTTTTTTCATCGTGTTGACATTTACCTTGATGGTGCAGAGGCTGTGGCAGATCAAACTGCTGGTGCCTTAGCCTAACTCAGGGCAGTGGCACCAAACCGTACTGATAGTCACTGTAGTCCTCCCTCACAGTGAAAAAGAGAAAAGAGAGTCGTATTCCCTTAAGAGTGTTCATGAAACAGTTAAAAAAAAACTTATCAAATCTTGGTTCTCGAGAACACTTTTCCTTACTTTATTAAAGTTATAATTTACTTACAGTAAAATTGACCCTTTTTAGTGTATACTTCTGTGAAATATGACAAATGCATATAGTCGGTAACCATCATTGCCACAAATAAGTTACAGGGCAGATCAGTCACCCCTAAAAGTTTCTCTGTGTTCCTTCTAGCCCCTTCCCCCATGCCCAGCACCCGGCAACTACTGATCTGCCTTGTGTCCCTATAAAGTTCTGCCTTCTCCAGCATGTTACAGAAATGGAATCATACAGTGTGTGGCCTTCTGACTCTAGCTTCTCACACTTTGCATAATACATTTGAGAGCTGTCCATATTATTGCATGTATCTGTGCTGTGTTCCTTTTTATTGCTGAGTGGTATTCCATTGTGCAGGTGTACCACAGTTTGTCCATTCCTTAGTTGAAGAATATTTGGATTGTTTCCCATTTTTGGCCGATATGACTAAAACTAATATAAGAATGTGCAGCTCGTTGTGTGAACCTGTGTGTTTCTGTGTCACCCTGAAGTGGGGTTGTTGGGTCATATGGTAGGTGTATGTTTTCTACGTTTAATTTTAAGAAATAGTCACACTGTTTTCCAAAGTGCCTGTATAGTTTTGCATTCCCACCAGTAATGCATGAGATTTCTGCATGCTCTACCGAGTGGTCAGCACTTGGCATTGTCAGCTGGTAGGTTCTGAGTTTATAGTGATTTCTCATTGTGGATTTAATTTGCATTTTTCTAAATGACTGATGGTATTGGGCATTTTTTCCTGTCCTTGGTTGTCATTTGTACGTCATCTTTGGTGAAGTGACTGTTTAGATCTTTTGCCCACTTTTAAATTGGGTTTGTTTTCTTAAGTTTTGAATGTTTTAAAAATATATGTATTTTAGATACAAGTCATTAATCATGCAAGTAATTCACAAATGTTTTCTCTACTTGTAATTGTGATTGATTGTAATACTCTACATGATGAAATGAGAGTGTCCATCGTGAGACAAGGTGTCTGACTCCAGGGAAAGCCCTTCTGTGATGGAGTTGCGAGCTGAAATAGCTCATTTTTTCCTCCACGGAATCTCATTTTTTTTCTTTAAAGAATCACTGGCAGGCTGGCTGTTGAGACTCGCTTATGTTCTCAAATCTCAGAATTATCTAAACAATACTTGGAATTTTCTCAAAAAATGAGGTGAACCTGTCACTTCTTGGGAAACAACTATTTTTTTGTGGATGATGAAATTAGAATCTTTTTTTTAAAAAAGCAGAATTTTGTAAAGCTTATTCCAACTACTGTCGTCTTACAGATTCACAGTAGTTAACTTTTTCTGATAATGAGATTGGTGGTGGTATTGTCATATGATTTTGGATATTGTATAATAAAATGAGTCAGTATTTGGAAGACCTCTGATACTCATAAGCCAGTACTTTATAAATGAGCAGTACATGAAGTTATAAAATCACACGTGGGTAAAAGATCCGTTCGGAACACAAGATAGAGCAATGGGTTGTAATGTATGAGAGTTTGCAGTCTTTGGTACAGTTTCAGCTTCCACACTGCAACTAACCTTTAAGAAATTGCCCCTTTTGAGTTTTGGTAGAGTGTCAAGAAAGAAGATCCATAATTATCTGAAAAGACTATTAAAATACTCCTTGCTTTCCCAACTATGTATGTATGAGGCTGGATTTCCATTGTATACTTTAACCAAAACCTGTGTGTCAGCAGGCTGAATGTGGACACAGACATGAGAAACCACCTCTTTACTATTAAACCGGATATTAAAGAGATTTGCAAAAATCTGAAACAGTACCACTTCTTTTGTTTTAGAAATTTTTTCAAAAACAGTAACATATAATAATTTCATTGTTATGCTTGATTAGTTGATGCATTTTTTTGAGCATTTTGATTCTCTAAGGAGTCTACTTTTTTTTATTGAAGTATAATCGGTTTATAATGTGTTAATTTCTGGTGTACAGTGTAGTGATTCAGTTATACATACATATTCCTTTTCATATTCTTTTTCATTATAGGCTATTACAAGCTACTGAATATAGTTCCCTGTGCTGTACAGTAGGACCTTGTTTATTTTATATATAGCAGTTAGTATCTGCAAATCTCGAACCCCCAGTGTCTGTTTGAATGTCTAATATGGTAAATGGCAATAAACAACCCACATCTGTCTAAGTTCTTTGGGGTTCCTTTACAGAGTTAATAAGTTTTATATTCTTCAGAACGAAATACCATTATAGAATCCTCTGTAACTTTGTCTTCTGTTACATAGACGATATTCAACACTTAGGAATAAACCAAGCACCTCACATTATGGGAAAATGTACACCTCTTTACCAAATCAGCCAGACACCTCAACAAAGAGTAAAAAGAGTAAAACGTAGTGGATTTACGTGTCACTTACTTAGGCCTTCCTTTTTTTGCCTCATATGGAGTTTCTCTTTAGCACTGAAAGCACAAGGCTGATGTGAGAGAAACAAGGAGGGGGCTTGCCTAACCCAGGAGCTGGGTGTGAACATACCTCGGGAGAGTCCTTGGGGGTCATACACTCAGTGCTTTATTCCGCTTGGCCCAGTGACTATATTCTCTGTCTAACACTTGGCTTTTCAGCTCTCATCAGTCTCCACAGTCCAAGGTATTGTAAGTCCCCTTTCTTCATTTTGCTAATGCTGTCTCTTCTGTACTCGAAATGTCACAGGGAGTAGGGTGGATGCAGTTACTCCTTTAAAGACAACAAGCACCTGATTGAACACCCAGAAGAATTGGTTAAGAAATCACAGATCAAAACAGATCTCTTATAATCTTTGTACACAAGAGGCTATGACTATAAAATGACACCTTTTTGGCTGTTATATGTAGTAATGCTAGATTATAGCATTTAAATAGTGGGTATTGGTCCAGTGGAGGGGAAGGGGAAGTTTTTAAGGCCTTTTGACTGTATCTGATCTAAAAGCATAATAAACCATAGCACTTAATGGCCTAGTCTAACTCTCTACCCATGAAACTCACTAATCTGCTATAGTCACTTAATCCAGGGAAGTAGATATATTTAAAGCTAATAATGTTTGGAAATCTTCTAATGAGATTTTGGATTTTAAAATGTCTCAGATTAAAATACTTATCTTCTAAAAGACTAACTGTGTAAGAGTGACCCTTCCCCACCCTTTTTACCCCCCCTTCCTACACCAGCCTCCCCAAGAAAAGGAAAGCTGTATTAGGGCTTTTTCATCTGAACACAAATTATTTCACCCGAAGTGGCAATGTATGTGCATGTTAAGAGCCCTTTAGTTAATTTGTATTATAGCTTCTTATACTACTTTTAAGTATAGTCTGTTCAGAGAAAAATTTGTCCTCAAACTTTATATCATAGCTGCTTAATAATGGCTGTTTTATTTTAAAATCAGCTGAGAACATAATGCTGAGACTATTATTTTAAAGTGTTGAACTTCGGTGTTTGTCCATGAAGAGCCTTCTATAACGACTCAGACACTTCTGGGAATGGTGGTTCCTGAGGGTGGTGTCTGATCAGAAAGGTTTACTTAAGTCCTGCGCTAAGTTGTTCATGGAACGTGTCTGTGGTTTCTCTCCTTTCCCTTCGCCTGACTACAGAGAGGTACAGAAGGCAGTCAACACCGCGCAGGGGTTGTTTCAGAGATGGACGGAGCTCCTCCAGGACCCCTCCACAGCCACGAGGGAGGAAATCGACTGGACCACCAACGAGCTGAGAAACAACCTCCGGAGCATAGAGTGGGATCTAGAGGACCTTGATGAAACCATCAATATCCTTTTCTGTGGTGTCTCTGCTGTGCGAGGCAGACAAATGAACATGTTTTTTTGTCCCGATCTCTCAAGTACACGGATTCGACATTTCCTTTTTGTCATCGATTGATGTTGCTCCTATTTGTACCGTGACACACTTAAAATAGGTGCCCAGTAAGCTAAGATAGGGTTGCCAAATTCCACAATATCCCGCGACATAGAGGAGGCGTGGCATGACGGTTAAGAACTTGGATCCTGGACCCTGAAGTCAGACTGGGTGTTCAAGTCCTGGCCCTGCCAGTTACTGAGTGACTTTGGGCCATTGCTCTCCAGTTTCCTCTTCAGTAGAAAATCAGGGTGACAGTTGTACCTAGTTCATAGGGTTGTTGAAAAGTTTGACAGGAACGATGCCTTGGGCCAGTGAGCCTCTTTGAAAGTGATAGCAGACATTATTACGGAGCGGTATAGACACCAGTGTTCTACAGTGGTGATTAGAGGTCAAAAGAAAGTCCTTTTCCAGGTGTTTTCCTGTTCAGGAAGTGGCGTTGCAGTGTCCCTGTCCGCTGGAGAGGCGTCTGTGCTGTGAAGGTGCGCTCCCCGCAGCGGGGCTGTCGTGCTAAGCCATGCTGTTGGTTTTGACTAAATCCACCGACCTGCCTGATGAAGCCGAGAACTGTAAAAGCTGAGTTATTTGGCCTTTTTTTCAACTGGAAAAATCCCATTTAGCCAACTTTAGATTGAAGATATGCCAGATGCATGTTCTAAGTTCTGTTTGGTTTTTTTCTTTTCTAAGTGTGGTAAAACATCACAGAAACCAGCTTTTGTCAGGATCCCTCTGTAGTCAGCACACAGGTTCATATGCAGTTGATGTGTGGAATGTAGCGTTTCTATTAATCATAATGACCCCGAGGTACCTTTTAAATTATTAAAAAAACAAATATGTTCTCTAAAATCAGTGAAACAAAATATGTGAGGGGGTGGGATCAAAAGCAGAGTTGCAGGGGGATATGTCTTCCCTTGAGATAGGAGGGAAGAGAAGAAGATTGAAGGAGATAAGAGAAATTGTGAGATAAAGGGGACAAAAGTTCACCGAGCTAATAGTTACTGAGTGCTTTGTGCTGGACGTTTTGTTGGTTACTGAGGTTGGACTGGTAAGCAAAACTACCAACTCCCGTGGAATTTATGGTGGGGGTAGAATGGGGGTTGGGGGTGGGAGAGCAGACATCAAATAATAGCACAAATGTGTACTTGCAGACTATGAGAGAAAAGTAGAGAGAGCTATGTGAGGGACATGGGGCGGCAGAACCAGGCTGGAGGGCGGGAGCGCAGGAAGCTTCACTGAAGAAGCCTTGATTTCTAAGATGCAGAGTTAGCTTCTTGACGGAGATGAAATGGTTTGGAATGACAGATGAAAATGGCTTGCAAAAGCCGCCATGGGAAAGGTGACCTGAAGTAAAAAAGTGCTGACAGGCATCTGGAAGAGCCCAGCTCAGCTGTGGTCAGACACCGTGGGTTTGTAGTGAACCAGGCAGGTCGTCTCTGCCTCGGAGTGCACGGATCCCCATCTAGCTGTGGGCCGAACAAGTCTGAGAATGATTAGTGTCAGGCTGACTGTGTGTTCAGAAATGCTGGACCAGATTTTACTGCTTACCTGTGAGAGACCCTGTGGTTTAACATCATGTTGGTTGTTAGTCTTTTGATGATGAAATTGCTTTACCTTGACTTTTTGACCCACGCATAGTTGAAGCAAATCCTAGAAAATTCAACCTGGACGCAACCGAATTGAGTATAAGAAAAGCCTTCATCACAAGTACTCGGCAAGTCGTCCGGGTAAGGAATGCGGTCTTAGTTGTGTTATTTGTACAAGAAATAGCCAGACTTCTCAGGACTCTGTCCCTTAATATAAACTAAGAGGTCAACCCTGAAACCACTTTTTAATATGAATTAAATGCCAGGTTTCTACATATAATTTCTCTGAAAAGAAATCTGTTTTTAGTATCATCAGGCTTATTTCTCAGAGCAAAAATAAGAGTAGACTGTTGGCTTCGGAGAGGTTACTATAATGGTATCCTTCTTGTCCATACATCTCATGCCTCCATACCAGTGATCTTGTTCCCGCTTTATTTCTTAGTATACTGTGTCTGGACACAAGGAAGAATTGCTATTGTAGAAACCATTTGGTTTCTTGATTGATTGGTTGTTACTTTGCATTGTGTGGAGTGACTCTTACTGGGATTGGATGGCGGCCTCTTCCACCATCTGAATTGCTTCTGGAACTTTTGCAACCCAGTAACTGACATTTCCATATACAACTGCCTGACAGCCCTCCGGGAGTTATCCAGAGCAAGCAGGCATCTATCGGCGTGTAAAAAAATCAGTCCAAGTGAACAAATCTTTAGTCTCAAATTATTCAGATAATAACCTATTGTTAAAAAAAAACCTAAGAGAAAACAGCATTTAAGTGAAATCTTGTATCGTTAAGCTATGTTTGTATTTTGAAACTATATGGCTAAGGCAGTTGATTAGCATAACTAGATATACGAGAACCAGCTGTCTTTAACATATGTACTAGAAAGCAGCTTCCTTGAATAAAAAGACTTGGGATCATACCAGTGCTAACATATGGCTTTTTAAGAGTCATCTTAGGCAGAAACCTTGGTATGTGTTTGCCAAAGACTCCGTGTCATGTGACTTCCTTTTGAAATTATTTCAAATGGTAGGTTATCACTGAACTTGAAATACTCTTGTTCCTTGTTTTACTCATTAGTTGCCTTCCTATACATATATGTATAAACTCACATTTTAATGGGGCAGTAACCTTTTTAGACTTAGGTGCCCCGTCTATACAGTGAATATTTGGATTAGACACCTCTAATTTCCAGCCAGTTCAGAGGGTATTCTGATAAGGAAGCCCTGTTGTTAGGTGCTGTGTTTTTTTGGTGAGGTAAAGTTTTCCAATTACTTATTTTATAAATGTGTGCTCTTTTATTTCTTGTGATAAAAGATTTTTCTGAAGGACACTTCTGTAGATGTTGGTATTTGAATGGTGCCTTGCAGTGAAGTGTGTGTTCTTGACTTCAATCATTGTATTTGTTCTTTTTGCAAGGTAGTACTTGTAAATTTTGGAAGTTGAAATTCAGAGGTCAGTATAGTAAAGGTTGAATGAGTTGGTATAGTTGGAAGTTTAATCCAGAGTTTGTTTTCTAATATTTGAAAAGCTTTTTAAAGTATATTTTTTGAAAGAAGTATTCTAAATCAAGTCCATACTTCACAATGTTGCAGTCCTTTTAGAGTTGAGATCTAAACTAGATGCAACTGTGTGATCCAACTGAGTGTTTTAGAGTTTTTAATCACTCTTCTTTTAATTTATGACCCCTTTGTGGAAGCTGTTGCTCTTTGCCAGTGGTGAGTTATAGTACCTAACTGAGTTTTTGCTCATCTGATTTTAATAAATTCTAACTGAGGTTTGTGGACTAAAAGGAAGTCATAATTGATACTAACTTGATTTTTTTTTTCAAGCACTTTGTGTTGATTCAGTATCATTGCATTCTGCTGAACAGTATTTGTATCCAAAACTCTCTGGGTTCCACATGGAAGAGATTGATAGCGTGGAATCAGAGAGTTAGCAGATTAGGGACATGAAACAGAAGACCGTGCTCAGATTAGGAATTTGTACATCACAAGCTTATCTAAGCTTCTCTGTCACCATTATCAGTGGAGTTTCATTTAGTTGCTTAAGGGAATGTATTTTGATCCGCATTTATGCCAATTGTGCTTCCTCCTCCTCAGGGCAGCCAGTGATGCATTATGTGTTTTTTGTTGTTGTTATCTCTGAAGAACTAAATCTTTTCTCCTGTGTTTCTTCTCAATTAATGTCCAATGGTTTTGCTTTTTAGTAAGCTGTTTTTGCTTAAAGTGTCTCGTATATGTTTTTCCAACCGTCTTTTAAGTTTGTGCAATTTTTATTGAGTTTGCTGGCAGTTTTTACTAAAGAAAGCAAAATAATTCTTATTTTTGTGTATATAGCCTTGGTATTCTTGAGGTGATCATTTTTGCCTTTGTGGTAAAATACATCAGAGATTTCACGTGTGAAATGTTTGTTATGGGAATCTATTCCAGAAGTGACTTTGGGTTAATTTAGTAGTGAAAGGTCTTGCAATGCGTGGCCGAATGGTGAATGAGAGGTGAAGGGGCCTTAGAACATTTCCATTGTGGCAAGTCATATAGCCTCTCTGGGTCTCAGTGTTCTTTATCAACGAAATGACCCTCACTAACATTCTCCAACTTTGTTTTAACTTTCAAAGGCAATCAGAACTATCCCACCCTCCCCCCAAAATCCAACCTCTTTAAACCCAAAAATTGTTCACAGTCAATCATAAGTCAAGATAGAAATGGCTTTGGTTAATTAAAAAGGGTGAGGGATGTTGTGTGGGCACAGATGACTCTGGGATGTGAGACCTCTTGAGTGAAGCACTGGGATTTACTGTCTCATTCACTCAGCCTGGAGGACGGCTTAAAATGGGAACAGAAACATAAATAACCTGGACATTTGTTCTTTTAGCAGGTGAACCATGTTTTATCAGTACTGACTGCTTGTTCTAAACTTCATGTCTTAGAAAGAAGATGAGTAATTATGTTTTTGGTAGCACAGATTGTTACAAAATGCTCAACACCGTTTAGTGACATGGCCTAAAATTCGAAATCCTAGTAGAAGGTAATGTGTGGACAGTGTCTGGCAGCCTTTATCCTGTGTAGGAGAAATGCCATCCTGAAAGTGAAAGCCACAGCTCTTTGCCTTCTGTTGTGGCCACGTACAGGGTGCACGCCACGCAGCTGAGGTTCACTGACCACCAGAGCTAACACACCCACACATTTTATTAAACAGAAAATGTACAAACTGGAACTTTTAAATGTGTATTTCATTATAGTAATGTGTGCTCATTAAAGAAAATTAGAAAAATTTTGCAGTCAGGAAAAAAAGAAAAATCTAGACCCAAAATAATACACAAACACAAAACTTTGTTGTATTTTTACATGGTTGTGATCGTACTATGATGCAGTCATAAGCATTTTTATTTTAATTTTTAAAACTAAAAATGATGCATACTTTCTATTTTTATTTATTTTATTTCTTGTTTATTATTAAAATATAGTCAGTTTACAGTTTGTCACTTTCCAGTGTACAGCACAATGTTTCAGTCATACATATACATACACATACTCCTTTCCATTTTCTTTTTTGTTATAGGTTACTATAAGATACTGAATATAGTTCCCTGTGCTATATATACTTACCTTTTTTAAAAAGCAAATAATTCTGATGAGTAAGAAAGATGAAAATGTCCCTCCATTCTGTAGTTCCACTCCTTAGAAATAATCACTGTTAACAGTTTTATATATTTTTTTCTATCCATTTTATGAATATTGAAGTACATTCTTAAAAGAAATGACCTGTTGGTCTGTAATTTTTTTCTGTGGAAAAATATTGTGGACATAGTCTTTATCAATACAAATACAGTGAGAGCAGTACTGTCCAATAGAAATACTAAAATGCAAGCTATCTTTATTTTTCTGTAGTCATAGTAAAAAAGTAAAAAAAACAGGTGAACTTACTATATTTCATTTAACCTAGCATATCCAGAAGATTATCATTTAAATGTGTAATCATTGTAAAAACACTGAGATTTTGAACAAATTTTTTTAAACTTTTTTTACTAAAACTTAAATCTGACATATTTGTTGCACTTAAGCACATCTCAATTCAGACATGTACTTCCCATTGGAGATACTTGATCTGTATTTAGAGTTTAGAAAACTTACAATTGAAAAGATTGATTTGCAAACTGAGTGTTTTCCAGACATATGTAAAAGTTTTCCAATAACTGAATATAAATCTAAATTAATTAAAATTAAATAAAATTAAAATTTTCATTCCTCAGTTGCACTAACTCCATTTCAAGTGGTCAATATGTAATTGTAGTTGGCTGATAGCTACTATATTGGACAGAGGAGATTTAGATGATCCTTTTTAATGGCTGCATACTTTATTAATCCCTACAGTGACCCTATAAAATATTACTTACACAGAAGAAATAGGCACTTAGAAAAATTGAGTAATTTGCCCAACTTTGCATAGCTAGTAAAAAGCATAACTAAGGCATGAACCCAGGTCTTTGACGTGAAAGACCATGTCTTAACCTCTCTCCTAGCCTGGGACTATCATGACTTGTTTGATCGTTGACCCTGTTGGTAGTTATTTAGGTGGTGGTTAATTTTTGGCAATTGCAAACCATACTTCAGTACCATCTTTGTGAGCATATCCTAGATATTTAAGTACTAAAAAGCTCAATAAATATATACATTTTAAATATTGGTTAATATTTTCAAAGTATCCTTATAAATTATATTTCTAATAACAGAGTGTCAGATTATGTAATATTTCTTAATACCTTCAACATTAAGTGGTGTCAGTCTTTTTCATCTTTCCCAATCTAATTAGGAAAAATATCTCTTCACTTGCACTTTGTTGATTATTAGTGGGTTAGTGCAACTTTTCATGTTTGATCATTTGTGTTTTTCTGTGAATTGTTGTACTGAACTCTCCTCGTAAGCTTAATGTCTAGTACACAGTATTGTTATGTGGGTTTACGGTAAATTACTCTTCTTTTGCTTGGATGTGATGATTATTTCTGCTTTTATTTTATAAATAACAGTGCAGTGTACATATTTGCATATTTGTTTTGAGGTATATTTATTTATTTTTATTGAAGTACAGTCAGTTACAATGTGTCAGTTCCTGGTGTACAGCACAATGTCCCCAGTCATGTATATACATACATATATTTGTTTTCATATTTTTTTATTGAAAGTTATTACAAGATACTGAACATAGTTCCCTGTGCTATACAGAAGAAACTTTTAAATCTATTTTTATATATAGTGGCTAACATTTGTAAATCTCAAACTCCCAAATTTATCCCTTCCCACCCGCTTTCCCAGGTAACCATAAGATTGTTTACTATGTCTGTGAGTCTGTTTTTGTTTTGTAGATAAGTTAATAGTGTCCTTTTTTCTTTTTTTTAGATTCTACATATGCGTGATAGCATATGGTATTTTTCTTCTCTTTCTGGCTTACTTCACTTAGGATGATGATCTCCAGGTCCATCCATGTTGCTGCAAATGGCATTATTTTATTGTTTATGACTGAGTAGTAAATATACCACAACTTCTTTATCTGGTTATCTCTCAGTGGACATTTGGGTTGTTTCCACGTCTTGGCTATTGTATATAGTGCTGCTTTGAACATTGGGATGCATGTGTCTTTTCAAATTAGAGTTCCCTCCAGATACATGTTTTGGTATGTATTTTATATTATTTCCTTAAAAGAAATCTTGTTATTAGAATCACTGGGTCAAGGCCGTGGATATTTGATATCAAATATCAAAGCTCTTAATACAGAATGTCAAATTTATTTTCAAAGGGTTTGTCTAGTTTACCTTCCAGCTATTGCTCAGGAGCAGCAGTGTTTTAAAAGACATTTTTATTAAATTATAACAGTACAGGAAAGTGCAAGCATCCCAAGTGTATAGCAACAGCATCATGGTCTCATTTGAAGGCTGCCAGCATTTGTGCGGATCAGAGTTTCTCAAGCTTGAGCGTCTGTGAGACTCACCTGGGAGACTTGTTAAACTATGCCTTAGAGTCTGACTTAGTGGGTCTGGGTGGGGTCCAGGGACCTGCATTTTTGATAACGCCTCAAGTGACTGACTCAGGTGAATCTCATACATTTAAGAAACATGGCTTATATCACTGAGTTTCCCTTGGTTTAAATATACCAATAACTGTATCTTTATTTTTATGGTGAATACTTCTTTTTGACCAAGTAAATTTTTCTCAGTTTCCATGGGTGGCAGTCTTAGATTTTTTTGTCTTTGGAGGTTTATGAACAGATGAAAATAGGTAGAGAATCCTAGAATTTACGTGTCAGCTGGAGCACCCTCAGATGCCCCACCTACCTGCCCAGTGTCATTTCCAAGGACTCACATAGCCCTCTTGTTGAAGGCCCCCAACATCAGATCGCTTGTTCCTACAGCAGCCTTTCCCATCCTGGGCAGCACTGGTACCTTCTGACAAGTGGCGGTAAAATGATCTCTTTACTTCTGCTTAATTGCCAACATTTTTCACAGAGTAACCAAAGCGATCTTTTAAAACATGAAACAGAATACACCACGGCCCTAGTCAAAATATTTTAAGGGCTTCCCATTGCCTTAGAACAGGGGGCCTGCAATCTGTGGCCCATGAGATGTAAGGATGGTTTTATATTTTTTAAAGAGTAGTTTAAAAAAAATGTGACAGAGGCTGAATATTTAATATCACTCCTTTACAGACAAAGTTTGCCAACCAGGCACTGCCTTGGAATAAAATCCCAGCAGCTTTGGCCAGCCTTGTCCTACCTCCTCCTGCCAGCACCCAACACAGTGGCTCCTTCTCAAAAGCTAAAGCATCCAGCCTTTCCTGCCTCCAGGCTTTTGTGCTTGCTATTCCCTCTGCCTGGAGTTCTTGCCCTCGCTCTTTCTGTGGTGGGCTGTTCTCAGCCCTCAGGTCTCGATCAGATCTCCCCGCCATCCTTCTCAGGGGTATTCACCCCCTGGATTTCAGCCTGGTTGAATCCCTGCCTTCCCAGCACAGTAACCACCTTGTTGAAGTGTGTGTGTGATTGCTCTCTGCCTCTCCACCACGGTGTGAGCTCCGTCGGCCAAGGCCCTGGTCTCCACCATCTCTGCTGTCTGCAGGCACACACTGGGCATTAGTTAAGTATTTGCTGAATGAAGGAGCGGGTGATTCGAAGGTTGAAGCCAGGTGGTTATTATTCACACTTACCATGGTGAGAATTACAGAAGCGCGTCCCTGTCTTACCTACCATTCGCTTGTCAGGGGTCTTGGAAGAAGTTTCTAAAAGCCAAATACCTCAGCATTTGCATCTGTAAAATAGCCTACCTGCCAACAGAAAATTATAAAGTATTTTGGCAGCCTTTTGTTTAAAGAAAGATAGTATTACGATAATCATGTACTCCACTGAAATCATTTTAAGGCACGTGGGTTGTAGTTAAATAAGATGCAGGTGGCTCATGTTTAATAAAGTGTTTTGTTTTAGATGAAGTAATGGACCCATTCATTTTTCTTCCCGTTACAGAATGGTTTTTGATACCACTCTGGAAATTCTGGTGTTAGAAATGGTCTATACTTCACATGAATCCAACTCAGACACAAAATAAGTGACCTGTTTATCACTATTTGAAAGCATTCTCTGGTGTTTAATAGTAAATATACTTCATTTTAAAGTGTGTGGATTTTTGCATGTTTCATCCTTGAAGATACTAGCCCTTGAGCACGAGCTTCTATGTTTGTACCCCAGGGCTGTGTGACCTTGAGAAAGTATCTCAGTCTTTCTAGGTCTTAAGTCTCCTCAACTGTAAAATGAAGTTAATGCCAGCTTCACAGTCACTGTGAAAAGTCAGCGATCATGTGTGTAAGTGTTTAATAGTTTCTGGCCAATGGTAGGTACCCAGGAAATGCTCCCTCTTTACTCGTATTTAAATTTAGTATCCAGGTTAACTTCTTTTTAAGGGTACGTCCTTCTCTTTATTTCCTTTATTTTTGAGACTGAAAATAAAAGTCAAAGGAAGCTGTCTTTGTGTTTAAAAAAATTAATAATAAATTATGGGTATTTTGCCAACATGCAAAATATTAACCACAGTTTTGTTTAGGGGTGTTCATTTGTTTTCTGGTCTTCTACTTACGTCATTAGGACATGAAGGATCAGATGTCCACCTCATCTGTGCAGGCATTAGCTGAAAGGAAAAACAGACAGGTAAGTAAACATCAGAAATATATAGTATCAGTCAAAGAAAATACACAGATACTTGGAATTTAAAAATTCCGACATCCGTGTATCACGTGTTCAAGCAGAAGACCTTGCGTGCTGAGCCCAGAGCAATGTTGGCAGGTTTTGTGAAAGTCCCGTCAGCCTCGTCCCGTCAGCCTCACTTCGCCTCCCCCCCCTCCTGGTTCTCTCCTCTGGGCTCCCACTGAACCCTCTGCGGACCTTACAGCCCTTGCCCCACAGCCATTTATTCTGCACCTGTTGAGCACATTCTGTGCCAGGCGCTCTGTTCAGGGCGGTAATTGCTTAGTTTCTCGTCTGTTTCTCTGCTGGACCCCAGGCTCCTTTGTGAGGGAGGAGGGATTGTGTTGTGGTCTTTTTTTCCTTTTTTTTTGGTTTCTAGCTGCTATTACATTGTGCATAGAACTCACTAGACATTTAATGATTGAAATTTTATGTAAAGCAGTTGAGGAACCTTAAATTTGTGTTAATTTGATGTGTTAAATCTTTCATCGTTTTAAGTATCTTGTTTTTGATGTGAGGTCTAGTTTTTATTAGTTATTACAAGTAAATTAGAAACCTAGTACATTTCAGAAACCAAAGCCCAGATATTGACACATCAAAAATAGGAGCTCCAAGAGACCCAGTCCCTGAATTTAATAGACCCTTAAGAAATCAGCTCACCGTTTTAAACTATCTAGGAATCAGCAGTTATGATGTAAATCCTCACTTTATATCTGTGGGTGTTTCTGGACCCACTTAATTTTGGAAAACAGGTAATACGAAAGCTTGAAGAAGGGGAGAGGACTCTCCAAGTATCACCCGAGTTTTCCTTTTCCCTTCCCTGCATCTCATTTTCCAAGTCATCGCTGTTGTTTTTTCCTCCCTGTCTGCCTCCCTTGCTCTGCACAGTGCAGCTAGGAAAAACCGCTAGCTAGTCCATTCCATCTGGCCCTGACTCTGGAAAAGAAGCTGCTGAATGACCACGGGCTGGCAGCTTGGGAGTTCTCTTTTCCACTTCAGCTCACAGGCGCTAAGTGATACCGTACTGAAAGTGGACAGTGTGTAGGTGACACCTGTCCTCTGTAACTCCTATTTGAATTTTATTCTCTAGATAGTCTAGTTGAGCTGACATAAATGTGGATTTATATGTAGCCTTTCCAAGTATGACTTGGAATTTTGTTTGAGGCAGTGAGTGAAATGTAGAGTTACAGATTTTCCAGGAATAGCGGGCAGAGTCCGCCTCGCTGCGTGCCCCAGTCCCGGGGCTGTGCGGCTGCCCGCTCAGCTGGGACCTCCTGCTCTGGCACCTACACACAGTTGGCCTTCCGGTGCTCTGGGCCCTCTCTCCATCTTCTTTCCCACTAAACAGACTGTTGGAGGTCAGACTGAGGCCCCAGGCGCTCCAGTCCTCTGTTCGTGGCCTCGTGATGCTCTACAGCCTTTCTCTGACCTTGAAAAGGTTGTCACTAGTCCCTGGTACCCTCCACAGAGTCCTTAAGGTCTTTGCATCAGAATAAGCAGGGCCTTTTAAATCTTGACAGCCCTACAACCAGGCTGCGGCAGAGCCATCCTCAAAAAGCCTTGGGTCTGCTTTATACCAGAGACAGTCACCATCCAAACTCCTGATGGAGGCCCTGGGCTGCTGGAAGCTTGTGGGCATCCTGATCCTCTTATAACTACCTCAGGACTTACGACATGTCCTGGACTTCTCCAGACCTCACCCCTGAAGGGTGGCCATTTGCCTGAGTTCATGGCTGAAAGTCAGGCAAGATCTGTGTCAGTATTGAGGGGCTATTGGAGGACTTTTCAGACAGAGAACCAAGTGATCAGGTAGACTTAACAGTTCCAGAACTGGAAAGTACCTGGTGAGAAGATTTGGCAACTCTTCAGTGAAGAATCCTAGTTGCCAGTGTCTTCTGGTTCTTTGTGCCTGGCTGGTTTGAGCAGGTGCTTTGACCAGCTAGTCAGGAGGGCTTATGGGGACCCCAGGCAGAGGCTGCTGCTGAGACTGACCACTCACATTTCTGGGTGGCCTCTTCAAGGAAGGCGTTCCCAGATTTATCCTCTTCTGGCTTGAAATGTCCTCAGATTTACAGTGGGAAACCTCACCCTGGCGTCTGGGGGCCCAGGTAGAGAACTCTGACTTTCGGGGCCAGCACTTGGCATGGTTATCAGGGTCAGGCACCCACGTGGCCATGCCTGCCTGGGGAAGCAGCCCCTAGTTCCATCTGGGAAGCCTGTAGCCTTGTCATTCATCTGAAGGGCAGTGGGATTTACTTGTGGGCTACATCGAGTGGACATTGGTGGTTCTTGTGCCTTCTGTAGGGGCTCTGACTTAGCTTTCTGTCAGTGTGGGGAACTCTCTCCTCCCCCTCTTCAAAAAACCAAAACCTTCCCTGGGTCATACTTAAATAAAGAGGACTCTGGAAGTCTGGAAGCAGCTAGACTAGAACCTACAGCAGGTCTCTGGTGAACTTCCAAGGGTGCTAGGAAGAGCTGGCCTAAAGAAACCAAGTGCTTTCAGTAAAGCAGTGTACAGGTGGGCGTTTGTTGATTTAAAGTTGACATTTATTTGCATTTTAATGGGACAAAGCCCATTTGTGAGTCCTGTTGGGAGAGCTTGGAGACAGGAGAGTGCCCTTCCTGGCGTTCCTTACATTGTACCACGCAGGCACCAACCTGCTCCCCTGGTAAAAGGCTGCCTCGGGTGAAGACAGATGATGAGCAGTAGGAGAACCCTTTACGTCATGGTGATGGAGCCCTCGTTCAGAGATGGTAACTGTTTGTTCCTCCTGCTCCCTGGCCCGCTCTTGCAGGCGCTGCTCGGAGACAGTGGCGGACAGAACTGGAGCACTGGAACGACAGATAAATACGGGCGCCTCGACCGGGAGCTCCAGCTGGCCAACTCCCACTTCATCGAGGAGCAGCAGGCACAGCAGCAGGTACCGGGGAGCCCACCCACCGAGGCCGGGCGCCTCCCCGCACTCCTCTGCCAGCGGGGCTTTGTTGCTGATGACAGGCAGGCTGGACCAGAGCTCGCCTGTAGCTGCCTGTGTATACCTGTGTGATGACTGCATCTCTACAGGGTCTTTAAAACCTCCTTCAAATCATGGCTAGCTCTCTTAGGACAAGCAGACCAGACACCTGAAACTGACAGAGGAGGCCGTTGACTTAAAGACACAGCAGCCTCTTCCCCAGCCTCCACTGGTGTACTCAGGTTTTTGTTCATTTCAACAAAGGCACTTTGAGAAAAATTGAGTCCTTGTTTTTTCTCTGAAAATTAGTGTTGGTTCCATTATACATAAAAATGATTGCTTTGGCGGAGGCTAAGGGGTAGAAGGAAGCTGGGGTTGATGACACCTGCATTGTTGCTCCTGGTACATAGTTGTATTAATAAAAGGAAGCTAATAAAGTATCTGGGGGTTTGAGGATTATCTCTCCATCGAAACTATTGGCTCTTAAATACTGTGTTTTATTTATGCATGTCGGTTATGTGTTTTTTGGTTCTTTTTCCATTAGCACATCTGCTTAACTAGTTGTCTACTTAAATCACTGTTAACCGAGTGAACCTTTTTTTTTTTTCAATAAAAAGTGAGGCAGCTGCAACACAATTTAAAAAAGTAGCTATCGCTCAGAGGTTGTCCTCGAGGTAACTGGCTCCCACAGAGCCCCTTCTCGTTTGTCCTTGAGGACCCGGTGAAGGACTCTGTTTTCCCATGTACAGAGAGCGGCCAAACTTTCTCTTGTAGTTAAGCTGTGTCCAGCTGTTGCGGATTGAGACCTTGACCCTGGCAGCAGGCTTCCTCTTCCTAGGCATCCGCATGTGTCCGTGGTCACAGCACAGGTGCTCTCGGCCATTGTCTGTCCCTTGCTGGACTTCAGCCAACCAGAGTAAAGCTCTCTGGGTGGTTTCAAGCCCCGCTGACTGTTCACAAGTTGGATCAGCGGGAGATATCGGTAGCTTGACAACCCAGCCTTTTGAGCAGCGTGTTCTGGGAGGCGACGGTCTGGTCCTTTGATTTCTGGGCTTTGCTTCTGAATGCGAATTGTCCCGAGTTGGCAAAGAAGCTAGCAGCTGCTAGAGTGCCGGGCTTGGAACCAGGTAAGATGGATTTTAATTGCTTATTTCCCATTTCCCTGGCACCAGCTGATTGTGGAACAGCAGGATGAGCAGTTGGAGCTGGTCTCTGGCAGCATCGGGGTGCTGAAGAACATGTCCCAGCGCATTGGAGGGGAGCTGGAGGAGCAGGCAGTGTGAGTACCGAGACGCCCCTCTTGCTGCAGAGGAATGGAGGGAAAGCCATCTTACGGGAGCCCTGAAAGCCTGACAGTTACGTGGCTAGTAAAACCAAAAGCTGTTTTGTTTATAGCTGCATCTTTATTCTGTTGTACAGCCTAACCCTTCCAAAAGAAGCAAATCTATCAGATAAAATTTTCAACAGGGTTTAAGCAAAGTTATTATTATTAATATGCTTAAACACCGTCAGAAATAGTTACAAATTCCTTGAACAGATAATCAAAGTGTTGCTGTGAATGGGAATGTAAAACCAATACGGCTCTGTAACCTCTGTGGAGACTCTTGTTGCAAAGAGGGTAGGACACGGAGTCATCATCCCATGACTTCCGCGCTACACGGAACAGAACTTTTTGCTCTGCATCTTAAATCTGAATTTTATGGGAAAAAAAGTATAAGTTTAATTCCAATTAATAAAACAGTCTTCTCCCCTCAAAAATAAAAAGTAAAAGCACAAGCACAAGAAAGCATAATTAGATTTATTTGTTCTTCGTTAAGTTTATTTGTTCTTCGTTAAGTTTATTTGTTCTTCGTTAAGAACGATCTCTTTTTGCAATCCTGAAGTATGACACCAAAAACAGTGAGAAATGCTACCACATAATAGCTTTACTATTTTACAGATATTTTTTCTGGGGTGGGGGGGAAGACACAGTTCCACTGGGATATTTCGGGAACTCTCCTACCTCAATTTTGTGTTCAGCGTTATAGATTCATTTATTATAAATTCAAACCAGGCATCTTGTTCTGGGAGGCCATTGCGTGTCCATGGAGGAGGGAAGGGAACAGCGTCTCTGCCGGCAGAGAGTTTACTGTTCAGTGGGTGGAGTGGACGTTATATAGATGATGCAAGTCCCGGAGTGGTGACAGAAGGGGAGGGCTGCCGTATGGAGGAAGCGCGTGGTGCCTTGAGGGCCCTGGCAGACTATACTGCAAACCTAGCTCAGTCTGAAGTCCCTGAGAAGAGAAGAGAAAAGACAAGAGAAGAGAAGAGAGGTTTAACTGGAGCTGGCAGAAGAGTGGAAGGCAGCGGGTGGGGTGATACGGAGGGTTGGAAGGGGGCTGAGGGAAGGGTCTATTGGGAAGAAGAAAGAGCATCCAACAGGGAGGTTTCGAGTGACTGGAGTGTGGGGATGGGGAGGGAAGTTGCAGAAGTCAAGTCAGGGAGGCAGGCTGTTCAGGGAAGGCCTTAGAAGCCATGAACAGGAGTTACAACTATTTATTCAAAGGGCGGTGGGGAACACACCCCAAGCGAAGGTTGTGTTGGAAGTAGTGCCATGGTCAGGTTTCCATTTTGGGAGGAAGAACCACAGTGGCACAAGACTGGAAGCAGGGAGACCAGGTAGGAAAGCTGGGAGAATGGGAATGTGAGCATGCAGTTTAATTTCTTTCTAAAATGCATTCTTACCCTAAAGTTTGTTTTGGGACTGGGAGAGGACTGAATGCTTAAGCACTTCCCCTGGTTGGGTGGACGATAGAGTCTGCAGGCTTCCAGTTATAAACGGTGGATTGAGCACAGCCTTCATCTCTGCTCCTCCTCTGGAGTCTGTTAGAACAATATTAGAGTTGTTTTTTTTTAATGGCATGAAATCTCTGGGGACATAGAGCTTGGAATAAGAAACAGTGACCAAATTTTAAAAAGGAAGAGAGAAAGAAAGAAAAATAAAGAAAGGAAAGACAGACAGACAGACAGACAGAAAGACCGACCAGACCACAACACTTTAAGATCCTGGCAAGTAGAAAGCCGAATGGTTACTGACTCAACAGACCAGAGAAAGCTGACTCCTAGGCCACAGACCCCCGAGCTGGGAAGAGTGTTTACTCACCCATGATAGTGTAAACCTTGAGTGTTGACCTTATCAAACTGTGACACAGTTACATTGAAAGAAAGGGGGAAGAGAGGTGGGAAGGATGCAGAGATGGGGAATGAAATGGGAGGAGGGCTGAGCCCTAGCCTTCCGTACTGCGGAGTCAGCAGGAGCAGGAGTCAGCAGGAGCAGGACTCTAAGGTGTGAGCCTGTTACTTCAAAAACTGGAGAGAGACGGGGGAGAGTATAGCTCAGTGGTAGAGTGTGTGCTTGGCATGCACAAGGTCCTGGGTTCAATCCCCAGTACCTCCAGTGAAATAAATGAATAAATAAACCTAGTTACTACCCCTCCCCCCAAAAGAAAAGAAACTATTAAAAAAAAGAGAGAGAGAGAAAAGCAAAAACTGGAGAGAACCAGGAGCATGACGTGAGGGGCTGAAAGCAGTTGCCGCAGAGGAGGGGCAACTGTGGTTTTTATACACAGAAAAAGACTTGTAGGACCGTTTAGCTCTACAAACTGTGTATGTGTATAACTAATAAAAGTTACAAGTAAATTAAAAGGAAAAACCATGGGTCTTGGACTTAAACCTGTGCTGTCCAAAAAGCCACTAGCACACGTGGCCATTGAATACATGAAATGCGGCCAGTCTGGACTGAGATGGGTCCTGAGCATAAATTGCACACCAGATTCTGAAGATTCAGACTGGAAAAAAAAAGTAATATTATATGTTGAAATGATGTTTTAGATACACTGGGTTAAATAAAACATTAGAATTAATTTTGCCCATTTTTACTTTGATATGTATGACTAGAAAATACTCAGTGACATGTATGACTCACATTCTATTTCTTTTGGGCAGCCCTGGGTGAGTTAGATCTGGGCTAGAAGCTTGGTTAGTGGGTGTCCTTGGGCTGGAAGTTGGATGACTTGCCCAGTTTGTTTTCAGCGAGAAAAGTCAGGCCCAGCACACAGAGGTAGCTCTTGTCAGCACTTGGCTCTGCCTGGACAGGTCTGCCAGCTGAAGGCAGGATGCTACCAGGATCTGAAATGAGCTAAAAATGTTTTAGCTACCAGGATCTGAAATGAGCTAAAAATGTTTTAATTTGAAAATTTAGGTAAGGGACAAAGACTTGTTTGTTTAGTTGTCAACGTGGAGTTTTTAATGATTGGCTTAATGAGGAGTTTGTCACCTGAATGAATCCTGCAGGGCTGTCAGGTGCCAAGTGTTAGCCTCGGGGAGCCCGTCCTCTGCGGTTGTAGAGGAGGAGCCCTCTGTCTGACATCAGCCTGAGGCCGCCCAGCTCTGTGATAAAGCACAGGGTACCTTAAAGGAGATGATTGTTTGATTAAAGTGCATTTCTTAACTCACTTTGCTGTAAAGCGCTTTATGTATTACGTGCTGCTCACAAGAACCCTGGCGGGGAAGCTGCACTGATCGGACTGCCCCGTTTTACAGATGAGGAAACAGCTCCCGCGATTGTAGGGTCCCTTGTCCAGGGTAGCAAGTGGCAAGGCCTGGTTGGCTTCACATAGCCTTCTTTCTGCTACACTGCACTGCTGCTGAGTTTGTGTTATATGGTCAGGTCAACGTTGCCTTGTCTGCCATTCTGAAATCTAAAAAGCTCAAAAAATTACTGTTTAAAAATTTCGCAGCAAGCTCATGTTACAGAAAAACCAGACTTGAGCCGACTGCAACTGTGACTCCACATAGTTTTCTGAGCAGAAATATTAAGGTGTTTGATGATGGGGACTGCCCCAGACCCTGCTGAGGGGACTAGCTTAATACACAATGCATATATAACTTACTACTTTTAAAAATTTCCACAATTCTGACATCAAAAACGTATCCTGGTTCCAAGGATAAAAGATTGGGGGTTTGAATCCCAACGTTGCCTGTTTGATGTGTGCTACAACCCAGCCGTGGGTCCCGATTTAGCTCCAAGGCAAATGCATCACAAGACTTTGTGCTGACCAGCTACGTGCTGCGTCTGCTTGTCTTTCTAGCATGTTGGATGATTTCTCCCACGAGCTGGAGAGCACTCAGTCTCGACTGGACAACGTGATGAAGAAACTCGCAAAAGTATCTCACATGACCAGTGGTATGTATGTGCTTCCAGGCTCCAGGGTTCTTGCTTAATTCCAGAAGCACAGTCTGAGGGCTCTCTCATGGGTGTGCCCATTCAGACCCCTTTCCTCTGGCACATTTCTGTCTTGCCTTGGGGTCAGAGACGGAAGCCTAGCACGCACAGGCTTGTCTTCTGCTTCTGGCCTTTACCTGGAAAGAGTCTGTGGTTCCCACCGGGCAAGGCTGGCGGGGTTGGGTGGCCTTTCTTCCGGGGGAGTAACTCTCTTTGCACTTAAAACATCCTCTTTTCTTTTCTTCCTGTTTCCTTGCCAAAATGGGGGATTTATTTAAAACAGTAATTAAGAAGCCAGTTATTGTTTCTCGTGGACTGACTTTTCATTGAAAGAAAAATCCCTACCATTTCAGAATAAGATGGCCTTGCAGATCTCATTGTACCTGTTTGTTTTTTTTATCCATAGTGAACTGCTGCTGCAAATTTCTACCAGGCTGGGGATGAAGAAGTAATATTTTTCAAGTTGGTTACTGTGTAGGCAGATGTGTTCCAATGACTCTGGTTTTTGTTGTTGTTAATACAACATGTCTTCCCTGTTACATGGAAACTAATACATTTTAAGTCAAAGAAAATCCAGTATCTCTTTTTTCTCTTTATTTGGTACAGGGAGGAACTGAGACCGTCTTTGAGGTAACTTTAGTGTTCTTGAGCCATGGCACCCCTCCCCCAGCAGAACATCCTGTTTTAATTTTTTAATTTCTTTTCATAAGTTGCAAGAGTATCCCCTGTTTCTTGACACTTTGTTCTCCTGTTGGTTTCCTCCTGCCAGGTACGTGTTACAGCGTCTAATAGTTTAGCCTTTTGAGGCAAGATTTAAATACACATGTATATGTGATTTCCAGCAATTTAACTCATAGTCAAGTTACATAACACTTCTGTGGGGCTTATATTTTTCCTTATATATTTAGATAAGGTTGATGCCTACCTCTCAAGATCATTGTGAGGATTAAATGAAGTAATAATAATTAACGTACAAGTGTTTAACAGTGTCTCCCATGTATTAGTGCACAGTAAATGTTTGTTGGGGCGGGGGGACGTAAGGCAGAAGATGGCCCTCGACCTGTTACATCCAAAACAAAGGGAAGCTCCTAGCCAGGTGAGTTTCCTTCTTTGTCTCCAGGGGCAAGTATCTCCATGCTTCTAGCGGGCTTCTCACTGCCAGCGGCAGGCGCAGCTTAGTCCATCTTCCACGCACCTGGAGAATGGTTTGCACAGTCCTCTTCCTGCTTCCCTCTGTTCTCTTCCGCCCCGCCCCTCTTCGCAAAAAAACACAAAGCTTTAATGAAGTATTATATAACCAGTTTAAACACCAGACCTCTCACTAGTGTGTATATGAGTTGCAAAGTCAAGTAGCTACTTCAGCACCAGTTTGTTTAGGGAAGAGCGACTGAACAAAGATGCCCTGTGTCCTTGCTCCCAGCATTCCAGGGGTGAATAATTTAGAAAAGCCACTCGCATTGTGATAAGCGGCTCAGTGTGTATAAATAGCACTGAGGCCGCCTTATGCTTTCTTCTCCTTTCTCCTGAAAGAAAAGTTTGGGGAGCAAAGTAAGAATTTTAGTTATATTTGTCTAAGAATGAGAGCCAGGAAAGAGAGCATTTAGCCTGAAAGGGCCCTTCGGTTGGGACAGCTTGCCTGTGGTGTTCATTTTAAATCTCTGCTCCCAGAAGAGAGATGGCTTGGGGCCTCCTGCTTGGCTGTGTTGGCTTCTGTTTGACGACGAGGCAATTTGTATTTGTCCCTGTTCTCCTCCGTAACTTTTGGGACGGTTCACTGCTTTTCAGTCAAACGTGTACATAAAGACTGACGTATATGATTAGGCAGTAACTGAGCGCACGCGCTGCACGTGTCTGGAGCGGCGGGACCCTGTCCCCCCCGGGGCTGGTGCTTCCTGGGCAGAAATCGGCCAAGACACCAGCCTTACTTTTTTGAATGATCCAAGAGAGACACTCATCTCGTCATTCTCCCACCCAAAGAAAGTGTATTCTTTTGAGTAGATACCAAGGTGTTCTCCCCTCAGTTTCTAAAATTCTGTGGTTCCTCTTTTCTCTCTAGGGGAGGAGAGTCTATTGGGGGGGGGCCTCCCTATGGAGCCCCCTTTGTTCCCCCTGACTTTTTGAGGCAGGTCCTGAGCTTGCAAAAAGCTGTTTAGAACTTTTCACTTGAGGTCACAAAAGCCCCTCGTGTTAACACCCGCCCCGTGTGGGGAAACGTCTGCTAGGGTAACAGTTCCCCGGGGGTTGCCCGGTACATGCCTCATAGAGGCAGCTTCCCACTTCAAAGTAAAGTGGATTTAAAAGCGCATTCCTGGGTTGTGCTAGCTTGTGTGATGGCTGTTCTCCTGGACGAAAACCTCTATTTAGTGCAGTTGCAGACGAGAAGGTGATGGAGGTGGGAGGAGGTTGGGCAGGGCTGATGGAAAGCTGGTTCAGTATGGGAAATCTGGGCCTGACTGGAAGGTGCCTCCGGCAGGGCACTTAGGAAGCATTTACCTTGACTGTACCATCCTAGAAGAATAGGGACTAATCATTTCAATGAGAGGGGTTTTAGATTATTGTAAACACTTTTAAATAGATGAAGGAATGCTAGATGTTTGAGTTTCCTGAGCCATTGAAGTGATACTTAAACTGATTAATAATGTTACCTGGAATCGATCCACTCGGCCTTCCCACGCCCTTTGGCCTCGTCCTGCTTCAGAAAAGGAGCAGGTGGACTTGAGGTCTCTCCCCGAATCCCAGTCACTACGTGAGCGCCTAGCCTGTCTGGCAGAGAGCAGGGTGAGCCACGAAGAAGGCTTTACTCACTCTTGTTTAATTGCAGTTCTCTCGGCCAGTTCTAAGGCTTGGCTCTCCATCACGTGGAAACCATTCAAGCGCATGTTTTGTGGACTTAGCATTGCTTCGTGTAAAGTCTTGCAGGCTATTTTCCTAGATTCTGATCTTTTTTACGTGACTCTGTGGTGTGCTAAAATCTGCTTTTAAGTAAACTTCTGATGAACTGGTATATGTGCCTTTGTATTTCTGGCTCCATGGAGCTCGCACTTCTGTCAGTTGAGCTGCGCTGTCACAGGCCTTCTGTCAGCCTGACCGTCTTCAGGAAACGGCAGGGCTCCTCTGCGTGGAGGCTGCTTGTTCCTGCGTCTGCCCGGTGACGGACGCGTCCTGACCGGGACAGCGCTCTGTGCCCCGGCTGTGGGCCCGCGTGTGAGAGGGGTGTCCGCGTTGTGTAGCTCTCACAGCCGCCCTGAGAGCTGGGGGTTGCGGCAGCTCTGTGGGCAGGAGCCTGTGCGGGCCCTTCTCCTGTCCCTCAGGGCCTCCTCATCTCGGCCGTTTAGATGGACTCTGGCCACTTTTTCCTGCGCCTGTTCTCAATTGTGAGAAGGGCAGGAAGTTTCAGAAAAGGCATTCATTCCCCTGTCATTTGCAGATAAGCTGTCCGTTACTTTAACGCGGTTGCTGGTTAAGTGACCTTTCTCGCCCAGGGGTGATGTGAAGTTCATCGTGCCTGGTCACCGCGGCTGGCGTTTTCAGCTGTTTCCTAACATGACCAGCAGTAGCTTTCATCTCCTTTCCATCCTCCCATTGCTCTCATTGAGAAAAGAACATGATTATTGTTGAATTAAGTGATTTGACTTTGGTGGGAGATGAAAGCAGACGAGCTTTGATCTGTGATACCACCAACACCTTTCCTAGGGATGCGGCACCTGCCAGCGGAAAGCTGCGATCCACAGATCTTCCTTAATTAGAGACTCAAGACACAAAGCAAGCACTTATGACAAGCCCGGCTTTCAGGGGACGGGCAGGGTTGTGAACGCGCGTGCCTGCAGGCCAGGCGCAGAGCAGCAGTAAAGTTACCCGGCGCCCAGGCAGGTTCACAGCCTCTCTGCCTGGCATTGCCCATCCTGTCCCATCTGCGTCCAGGTGTTGCCTCAAGTCCAGGTGTGTTCCGGGGGATCTAGAATCTTGGGAGAGCTCACCCTCGTGTCCTGCCTTCCAGATCGGCGCCAGTGGTGTGCCATCGCTGTCCTCTTCGTGGTCCTGCTGGTTGTGCTGATCCTCTTCTTGGTGCTGTGACGGCGGGGCCTGGGGCCGCCACCTCCTGCATGGGGACCTGGTGGAGAGGGAGCAGCAGCGCGCATGGTGTGGCCGGCTCCTCGTGTCCCGCTCCTGGAAACCAAGCCTTTGCTGACTTTTCTCTCTGTGACCCCACCATCGAGACAGCGCCTCCGTCCCCACGCCAAGAAGGCCGGTGGGGAGAGGAAGCCGATGACTGCACACTCCTGGTGCCTCTGCCTTGTTCCCCTGGAGGGCCTCCAAGGAATCCAGAAAAATTCAGACTCGGCTCGTGTTGGCTATTGCTCATTCCATCCGTCTTTGGCAGCTCTTTTCTCCCGCTCAGACCCTTCGCCCCGTCAGATGGCATGCGCTGTCCCGTCCAGAAGCGCTGGCTCCTGGGTATGTTTTGTGTCCCGCCCCAGGAGCGCCCTTCACTCCTGAGAGCTGGTGGTTAATGGGGACCCAGGGCTCAGAAGCACTTTGTGACAGAAGATGCCGTGATTGGCTTTTCAGGGATAAGTGCTGGTGTGAAAGTGCTTTTACAGGCCCATTTTTTGGTGGGAGGAATAACTAATGAAAAAGAATGACAAGCAAAAAAAAAAAAGAATGAAAAGCACTGGGCTTCGGGGGATGCTGGCAACTTGTGGCTTGAATGGGGAGGACAGGGCAGCGGGACACAGCTGTGGGAGGGTGGGCTGAGTGCCGGGGTCGGGGCCTTGGTGGATTCACGCCACTGTCCTATAGCCTCCTCTCTAGAGGTGCAACTTGCATTTTCAGGGTGACCTTTACGTGAGCAGCTCAGTGGCTCATGAGTGTCTGAGATCCCAAAGTAGTGTCACTGGCAGTAATTTTATTCCGGTAGCACCCTGCCTTGGGGGCTACAGGTGGTCAGTACATTTATTATATGTACTCAGAAACTGGAATGTCAAAAGAAGGCTAGTTCTGGTCCGGATTTTTCTTACCTTGTGAGTAACTACAAGGATGGGTAGGTGAACTGGGTTCTTTTTTCTCCCCTAAGATGATAACCCGATTATGTCATCCATTTAGATAACTGAGCCAATCCAAATTTAAATGACAGATGCTGTATGAGACACTGTACACTGCAAGCTTCTGATGGCTTGTAAGAGGCCTCCCGTGTACACATGTATATAGGATATTTTTATAACCTCCCTGATGAAAACCTGATATTGAAGTAACAGCTGAAGCCAGAGCCAGTGCCTGGCGGGGAGGCTGCCTGTCTCTGCCTCACCTCCCTCTTTTGCACTTGGAAAGCACAGCAGTGTCTGGGTAGACTTCTAGCTCTGGCTTTTATCTCATCTTTTGGGGTCCATTCCTCAGCACGCTTTTTTTTCTTGTTTTGTTTATAGCTCTTGTTTTTCGGTTTGTGTTGGGCTCTTGCCCCCCCCCACCTCTTTTGTGTATGATTTGCAATGATATGCTTGCCCAGCTAACCTCTGAATTGCACTTTTTAATAAATATTTTTAACAATTTTTTTAAAGAAAGGTATTTTCTCACGTTTCGGATCATGTTAAGGAAATCTGCCTGTTGATGAGAGCTAAAAGCAGATTCATAAAACTAAAAGGGTGATTGACATCCACGTTTACACTCAATTCTCTATTTGATAAAGAAATGTTATTATTTTTCAAATTAGAAAAAAAGTGATTATTACAAAGGGCTTCAGATGTAGGGTACTAGATTATTTGTTTTACAAAGTTTTGAGACTTATTAAAATAGCCTTTTATAAACTGAGGACAGGGCTGGTCCTTAGATTTGCATTAAAATATACACGTCTTTGTTAACCATACATGTGGCCCTTGTCACAGTACTGTGACCCCCGCTCTCCACGTTACACAGAGCAGCCGACGTCTTGATGAAGTCCAGGCTCGCCCTGTTTAAACGCCGTTCTGTTCTCTGGGTGGTAGGTTTACTGTGCCCCTCGAAACCGTCACGCGTGGCAGGGCCTGTTGGGAACATGCCTGGTCATTAGTAGGATTCTCCCCAGACTTTAGGGACCAAGTTTTGTGATGCTAGGGTGATGTGATATGAGGGTTAATTACTAAGTGGGGATATTTGGAGTTGGCCTGCTCACTGATTCAAGGTGTTTGCTAAACGGTGGTTATTGTAGACCAGACTGGACTGAAGCTAAGGAGCAAGCTAGTTAGAAGGAGAAAGTTTACTTAAAATCCAGGCACTGTTCCATTCTCCCTGTAGGCCCACTGCTTTTCTAGCCTCCAAAGAGTTATTTGATAAGCTGCCTCTTAAACTGTTACCAGAGCCACTCTGTCCCAGGTGTCACTTCCGGTCCAGGCTGGCTTGATCATGGGTCCGACTCCATTGTACCTGGACTGGGCAGTCGCTACAGACCAGTGTTCATTTGAAGGCTCCCCTCTCAGACTCCAGCCCGTGGCAGAGAGCATGCCAAGAGCTTAGGTTTATTTTTAAGGACAAATGTTTCCTCATCAGTGATCCTACTGCTACTGGTCCTTTGCACGCGGTCCCCTAACCCTGAGGGGTGGCACGGGGGGAGGCGGGGAGGCCAGCACAGCCCCGCTGGGCTCAGAAGCATGTCCCATAGCCACAGGTTTCCCTTCAGCCTCTGCACCTCGTGCCGCGCTCCTTGTCGCTAAAGGACTGGCAGGATGCGATGGGTAACAGAGCTTGATTTCTGTTTATTGGAAGAACAGTTTACTCATCAGCTGATTTTAGGGGGTGAACGGGGGAGTGAACTGTTGAATTTGCCAGAGTGGGAATCCAGCTGGAAAAGCAAAATACCTTTAGTTTTTAGTCCTGATTTTTGATCTTGTCTTTGTGTGAGCAGTGAAAAATCACAATGCTCTCCGTGTGCCACTGCCGTGTGGCAATTGGAAGTTGCAGCGTGTGTGTGACAGGAGGGTCTTCCCGCCAGAGCCGGGGAGAAACTTGGTAACTTGCCCATTATTCTCTGCTTTTAGCCAGAGTTAAACAGACTGATGGGTCTGGTAGCCAACAACTTGGCAGCTTCCGTTCCTTCTCACCTCGTGAGATTAAGGGCTGCGAAGAGAAATGTAGTCTTAACAGAGACAGATTTCTGCTGGAGTTAAGTGTTTTACCTTCTGTAAGTGAAGGTGGTGGAGCCAAGATTTTTCTTTTGGTAATTTCCCTGACTGTCAAGTGAGACTGTTACCACCTTTCTAGAGAATTCGTAGCATTTGAAGATCTAAAACCAAGTGATAAATATGAGTTGCTTTTCCACCCTGTAATTTGGACCATTTGGCGTTACCTTATACTGCAGGACAAATTTGTAAACAAAACAGAATTCGGATTGTCTGAAAAGTGAAAGTTCCAAAATACAGAACGCCCTACCGCCAGCCCTCCCTCTTTGTCTTCCTCTGGCTGGCATTTCTTTCCCTCCTGGGTTTTTTAAGAATAATTTTTTTAAAAAAGAATATTCTTTGTCCATGAAGTGCAGAGAGGTGAGGCCAGAGGGCCCGTGGTCACGTTGCGCTGTCCCGACCACGGAGGCAGCGCCCGGGGAAGGCGCTGGGAGGCCTCCTTTCTGTCCTGTCCAGATGCCCATCCCCAGCTCCCAGCCTTCACACGCTTCTGCTGGAAACGAGGAGCCCCAGTTCTTGCAGGGCCCCTGCCGGCCAGTCATGTGAAACGTGGGTGCTGCCCCTGATCAGTCGTGCTCACAAGGAACCTGCTGTATTGCTGTTGCAAGAGAGTCCTGAGTAGAGAGAACTGCCATTCAGCCCAGAAGCGACTGGAACAGCCCTGCTGTGAGCCTGGGGGCTAGGCCTGGGACTGAAGCTCCAAGCTGACGGACTTCTGGGGTTCGCGTCCTTAATGGTAGACTCAGAAGGACTTGGGGTCCCTCAGCTCAGCCCTCTTGTTTTAGGGATGAAACCCGGCTCCCCCAGCTGGCAGGGGAGTCCCTTGATGCACTGCATCCTGGACTCGGCCCTGGGAGCCCACATTCGGTGGGACCAGCTGACCTCAGTGACCTCCCATGAGGTAGCTGACGGGGTCTCGTGCTCCCCCCTTAGCCCCGACACCGAAGCTCTGAAAGTTACAGTGGCGCTCTGGTTGTGTTGCTGCCGTCTCTGTGCATCTGCGAGTTCCTGTCATATAATGAGATAGTCTCTACTACTGTAGACACGTGGGGAGGTGAGGAAGAAAGAAAAAGAACTTGGTTTCCCTCTGACGTAAGCTAACGTGTTGGTGCTGTTTTCCTTCGGACACGACCTTTGTCCAGAAACGCCCTCCCTGGGGCCGTGCAGGTGGGACTGGCTTACACAGTGATTATCCCAGTCCCCTGCCCTGTTGCTTGGTTTCACATGAACATTTAATGGACCTGGTTTGCCAGCTGCAGCTAGACCCTTGTGAGAAAGTGTATTTTACCCTTTTGGGTTTTTTTTTAAGGTTATGAGTTACCAAACCTAGAAGCCACTTGCTTATCTTGGGGTGGGGGGTGGGGGGGGTTAGAAGCGAGACCACCCAGCTTTGTTATTCACTGACCAGAGCTCTCTGGCCTGTTCCCTGGCGGCAGCCCAGAGCTCCGCTCCAGTCTGGCTTTCTGTCAGCCCCGGGGTGGGAGCACTTCCAGGGTGGTTCTTCCCTGCTCTGCAGAAAGTAGACTTCGGCTGTGACCCTGCTGTTAGTCTGTTCTGGGAGAGGCAGCTGTCCTGATCCTCAGGACAAAAAAGGAAAATAGTGTGTCTCTGCCCTGCTGTCTATGGAGGCGAGGAGAGGCCAGGCAGGTGTCCCACGAAGAGGTTATTGGAACTGTTTGTGAGCACCATGCAACGTCGTCCTGACTGACCCAGGCTGGGAGAATGCCCAGGGTGGGGGGGCCTGAAAACCAGGAAAGGGCCAAAGAAAGCAAGCTGCAAACGATGATGAATTCAGTTTTTGCAAGTGGAAATATGCTTTCACCGGCTCATTTGTAATCAGAAATTAGAGTAATTAAAAAAACACAATGTGTAGTATGTGGCAGTACTCAGCAGGACGAAGCCATTGTATTTTTCTTCCAAGGATAATTAAAAAATAAAATGCTGGAAGGTTATTTAACTAGAAGGTACAAACTGAAGAGGTGAGATCAGAGATTAGAAATGCAAACGCCACAGTGAGTTCCAGATGGTGCTCTCCCCCCCCCCCCACCCACGAGAACAGGCCAGAGCCCTAGGCCAGGAGTTTACAGCCCTCCCCAGAGGCAGAGAGATCTTGCTTCCTCTACGAAGGGGGCCTCCCTCCCAGCGTGGTGTGTGACCAGCAGTGGTAGCATCCCCTGGGAACTTGCTAGAAACACACATTCTCAGCCCACCCGCCCCCAGACCTGCTGAATCAGACTAGGGTGAGGCCAGCGCGCTGTGTTTTACAAGCCCTCCAGGGGAGTCTGAGGGCCCCTCGCATTGGAAACCCACTGCCCCCGCATTGTGGACTTAGGCTCCAGTAGACCACCTCTGTAAAACCATTTTCATGGCCTTGACTGTAATCCTGACATTAAAATTTGATGACACTATAAACTTGAAAACTTTTAAAGATACTTGTATTTCATGAAGCCTCAACTAACCCTCGTTAAAAGTGGTATTTTTACACCCTGAAGTCTATCAGTAATGTTTCTTCTACTCTTGAAATCATGTTACAGCTGTATAAGGAATACTGTTCAGTATTAAAGAGAAATGGAGGGACCATGAACTTTGTCCTGGTTTTTTGTTTGGTTGGTTTTGGTTTTTAGTTCTTTTCATACCTAAGCACGGCTTCCTCCCCGCCTTCCTCCTCCACCAGTAAACATGGACACGTGCATGTGCCCACAGTGGGGAAGGTTTGTGGCTGGTGGAAGATAAGCATTCTTAAACTCCAAACAGCCACACCGGACATTCACAGTGTTGTGCTGCACAGTGTCAGCTGGGCGAGGAACTTAGAAAGACTGGACCACAAAAGGAACTGAGTCCCGCATTTCCCTCACTGGAGGGTTGGCAAACAAGAACGCTGCCCGTTGGAATCGGCAGCTGAAAGCTCCTGCCTTTAGCTCTGTATGGGGCCACCTGACCAGGCTACTTCCCTTAAGGGTGGGCGTCCTCACTCAGAGGAACTGAGCGCCTCCTATGTGCCAGGCGCTGATCTAGGAACTGAATTAACGCATACGGTACTGTAAACGGCTCTGGGAAGCAGTGAAGTTTCTCTCCTAATGTCTCAGATCTGCACATGAGGAAACTGGGACACAGAAGGGGTTTCTTAAAGTCCAGCTTCTTAAGAAGCAAGTCATTTCTGAAGGGGCAGAGCCGCTTCCTGTGCCCCCGAGCCTCACTCAGAAATTGGCTCAGCAGTGCCTCCCAGGTCCTCAGCTTGATACCCCTGACGGAACAGCCAGAAGGGGCAGAGGCATCAGCATCCGCACAGCCTCGCTGGAGGAATAAGTGATGATTTTGAGGGTAATGGTTGCTATTTCAGGAGGAGGAGATGGTTCTGTGTGTCTCCTGATGAAGCCCATCACCGCCCTGCATGCTGA